CCACCCTGTTTAGAAATGCTGTGGGGAGAACGGAGTTGTATAGGAACCTCAGTCTGCGAGCCGAGCCCCCCCCCCCCCCGCCGTGCACCCCTGGGACCCTCTTGCGGTTTCCCCTGGTCTCCCAGAGGTACCCCCTCCCCCGCCCCTGGCCCAACACACAGCCCTGCAGCGGCTCTGGTCCCTCACCCCACCCCCAGCGCCCCAACGGCTTCCCCGGGTCTCTGGGGCGGATAATTACTCTCCGCCGGCCTGTTCTCCCTTGTTTAAAGTTTGTTTTCTAAATGTCTATTAGATTATATTTGCTCATTCCCCCTCCGACCTTATCTCTTTCTGTCTCTTCTCTCCTGGCCCGTCACACTGGATTTAGGCACGAGTTTATCTGGCAAACAGTTGGCGGACTTTGTGATTTGCCGCGGGTTCTGGGGCTGGAGCGAGCGAGCGCCAGTGTTTGCCTTTGTAATAGTTATCTCATTGTTGTTCTTCCTTAGTCTCAGGCCCCTCCTCCCCTCTCTCTTCTTCGGTGTGGGGGGGGATGGATGGAGGGAAGAAAGGGGGAGTCTGTCTGCCCAGCTTGGACTCGCCAGGAGTCTCCTCCCCCGGGTTATCCGGCACCCCCCGCCCTGTCCCCCCCTCTCCCCCCATCACTAGGGCCCAGTGAAACCCTCACCCCCGCCCTCTCCCCCTCTGGTCGCACTGAATATCCACCACCCTGCTCTGCCTGAAGCCGGGGACTTGCCCGACACCCTCCCATTTTCCTCCGAGCCCCCATTATGCGAAGCTGATCCCACTCTGAACAGCTTCAAATCCCGCCTGGACTCTGTTTGATTAGATTGCCAACCCGGGGTAATCCTTTGATTTGGTGGAGTGTCAATTACCTTTCTCTAAACACACATTTACAGAGGAGGGAACTTGTTGGTTTCCATCAATGCAGATTGTTTCTTGATAAATGGACTATCTTCTTCTCCTCCTCGCTCCCTCTTCCAAGGCCCCTGTCTCTCTCTGCGTCCCCCTCCCCTTCTCTCTCCCGTTCCATCCGATCCGGTAAACAATGCCCCTTCCAGGTGTGAAGCCAGGGGAAAAAAAAAAAAAACAGTGTGGGCTGAGGGGAGCTGTGCCCCCCTTCCCCTATTCATTCGCTCCCCCGGAGCCTAATTAAATTTGGCAGGTCCTTGTACACACAATCAAAACAGCTTCCTCCTGTGTAGCAAACGACCGAAAACCGCATTAGCAGCTACTGCCGCTGCCAAATTAAATTGTTTCCCACCTCCTTTTACAAGTGTCTAAAACCGACACTCGGGGCTGTCCCTCCTTTCCGAGCCTTCTTCGTCATTTCCCACTCAACACCTGTAAGTTTGTTGCTTTAAAAACAAATTAAGGGAAGATGAGAAAAAAACACCCACAAATCTCTCTCTCTCTCTCACACACACACACACACACACACACACACACACACACACACACACACACCCTCCGTCCAGACCTCAGATGATCTTTTATACCAAGGAAGTGAGCAAATTCTTTCAGATGGACTCTGGCACCAACACCCCCTCAGGAAAATGTACACTCTTTTTAATCTTACTACTTTCTCCCCTCCTTTCATATTGACTTTGACCCTGCTGGGCTTTCTGCTCTAGAGAAGAAGGTGGAGACTGGTCTGGTCAGTTTCAGATCAATGTACCCAAGTTTGTCCACTGCCAGGCTTTTGAGGCTTCAGTTTTTTGTTCGTTACTGGCTGTCACTGCTTTTATTACTCTCGCTGCTTATTTCTTCATACTCCCTCGGTTCCCACCGGAGGGTGGTTTGACTCGGCGCAACCCCCTGTCCAATTTCCTACCAGAGTATTACTGGGCTCCTTAGGAAAATCTTGTTCTTTTCCTTTCCTCCTCAAATCCTTTCCCTGTTGGGTCCCTGGCCTGTCTGCCCCCTGAGCCTCCAAAAAGGGGTGAGGAGGAGAGAATCCAAGCAGATGAAAGCAAGGACCTGTCCACTTCCCTGTCCAGGTGAGCAGAGCATGGCTGGAGCCCCTATCTGCAAGCGGTCTGTGAATTCTCACAACCAACAATCCTAATAACTCAGTCTTAACAAGGATAAGAGCAAAAAAAAAATATGAACAGCCTCATGAATATCAGCCCAAGGGGAGCAGGAGTGAGCTGTTCAGAGATGAAAGTGCACAGAAATAAAAGCTCAATTTAATCTGCTTTAAAACCCTTCAACTTAACGTTTGTGCTTCGAACTCTGAGAGTGAGGACTGATTGCGGATAAATAGTTTCTTACCATGCCTGGAAGCTATTACACCCCTCTCCAACACAGTTTCCCATTCAGCAGTCCCAGTTTTCATTACCAGCTCTAATAAGTCTTAACATTATTAAATGCCAAGCAGACGATAGGAAAAAACGGACTCAGGGAGGGATCTGTCTTTAGCGCTTAAAGAGGAGAGCTCTTAAACCCCTGCTTTGGCGGCTCCCCGCCATGAGTGGGGCAACCCACGGAGCAAGCATTTGTCAGGAGCGAGAAGCCAAAAACAAAGTTCGTGAATGTTCCCTGCTCTGCCCACGGAGCCTCTCTGCCTCTCGGCACCTGGTCAGCTTGGGTGGAGGTCGGGAGGTCTTTTCACCTTTAACTTGGCCATGACACAGACGTCTGCGGCCTGGGAGAGAGAGGAAAGGTTCCAACTGGGCAGTTCACTAGGCACCCACAAAGTGGCCCAGGTACCCCACCGGGAGCTGAGATGATCTTCCCACAGATGGACAGACAACCCACTGGCCCACTGTCCATCCATTCCCCTCTACAATGACACCGCACACACGCTCACGCTCTCACTGGCTCGGAACACGCCCCACGTACTTTGATCCAAAGGCCCGTGGGCACGCAGTCACACTGAGAGACACAAGGGCCCACACGGCCATCTAACTCAGTCACAATGCCCAACATGCCCACTGCCACTCAAAGGCCGCAGAGCTCTCCGGACACCAGGCCCGCGGCTTGCCCATCTGGAACTACCAGGCTCCTCCTTCAACCCTGGAGACTTCCTGGTTCTCTGCAGGAGAAACCTCTCTCCAGCGAAGTCGCCTGTTAGCTGGTTTTGTAAGTCCAGACCTGCACCGGAAGCCCCCAAACTCCTTTGAGTCAAAGGGATTCCCCAAACCACACAATCTTTCCATCCTCTTCACTTCCTTTTTTTTTTCCTCGAAAGAAATTAATCAATTGTGCTTCTTCACAGACTAAATTGGGCATATCCCCGCCATCCCCCACACCTCTCAAATCTCTCCAAATAAAACCAAATCTTGCACTTTACCCGGGCTACCTCCCAGAAGCAGTGTCTGCTGTGCAGTATTTGACTGCAAAAGATTATCTAAGTTTTATGTCTCCCACCCCACAAAGAAGAAGTCCGACTAAGTACCTTCTCAGTACAGACTGAAGTGAGGACTGGGTCCCCCCAACACTTTCCAGGGGTACCAGGGCTCTGGGCAGTCTCGGGCAAGCCACGGGCTGCTGGGCAGCCGCAGGGCCCCTCCCGCCCAGAGGCGGCCCCTCTGTGGGCCCCGCACAGTGGGGTGCCAGGCCCAGCTCGCTCCCTTTCTTCCCTCGCCCTTTTGTCCCTGGTGGGACAGGGCTCCACTGGGGGCCCTGAATGTCAATAGCCTGCCCGGTCCCCAGCTCCGGGCTGCTCTCACATGGGCCTGACTCTTCTCCTCCATCTCTCCCCCTCCAACCAGGCCAGTGGGGGCTGGGCCTGGCTGGGTGTTGTCTTTGGAAGCGGGCTTTGTCTGTGAAGTTCATCTTCAAGGTTGGGAGAGGCAACGGGAAAGAGACCTGGGCTAGGAGTTCACAGGAGGCAAAGGTGTGGGGGTCAGGGGGGCTCCAGAAACTTCTGGAGGGAGACTCTAACATAATGTGTGCTCTTTATAAGTTTCTGCACCCTCCCCAAAGCCGCGGTGTCCCGGGTTTGGAGGGCCACTGTCTTTCTCGCTGCCTGCTGTCTCCCTACGTGTGTATTTGGGGACCTGCTTCTTTCCTCTCTTTTCCGGTTGGCCTGAGACCGAGTCTTCCATTTCTGCATCTCCCTACAGCCTTATTTAACGCACAGTTACCAAATCTCAAAGACAACGGCAAGGGGAGGAGTTTCGAGGAAGGAGTTTCTCTTCAGAAACTTCCCACCTCAATAAAGGAGAGCGTGATCTGCCCTGGCCCGGGCACGCAGGCGCTGGAAAGAGAAACGCCTTCCCCGGAGACGCCGGGTCCCCAGCCGGGCTTAGACTCCAACACGCGGAGGGGCTGCGCCAAAAGGGGGAGAGGGCGTGGGAGCCCCAGTTTCTCTCCTTCCCTGGGATCCTCCTGCCCAGGCTCCGGGAACCTGGCCTCAACTCCTGGCCCCGAGGGAGCAGCGCACCTTAACAGTTTGCCCATCTGCCTCCCCGCTCCCGCGCTTTCTCCGTTTGGGCCCTGGCAACGCGGAACTGAGAGTTAGGCGGCGGCCCTCGCTAATTTTTATTGATTGCGGCGGTCAGTCAATTGTCAGGCGGGGTTTCAAGGGACCATTTAGAGAGCGTGTGCGGGTCTGGTTAACAAATTCATTTAGGGAGCCGCGGGCTGGCTCCTCCTTCCTCGCCCCCTCCCTCGCCCAAGTTTCCCATAAATAATAGATCGACACGGGGACCAACAGCCAAAATGCCAGCCCCGGAGGACACGCGCCCGGGAGTCCCCGGTGACACTGAGCTCAAGGTCCGCAGACGCTCGGTGCACGGACCTGCAGCCGAGCTCCCTGGGGACTTAAGAGGCCATCTTCGCCTCGTCTTTGCTCCCTGTGGGCCCCGGGGGCGCATCGAGAGGGTGCCCTCCGCAAACCCCGAGGGGTCCTGGCTGCCCGGGGCTGCCAGTCCTACCGATCAAGTTCTGTCCGCCAGTCTGGGGCGACAGAAGCGAGACGCTGGCCTGCACACCAGCACGTGGGGAAATGCGGTCCAGCACGGCGCGGTCCCCTGGGGGAAGGTCCCCCTTACCTTTGTCGCCCAGGATGCCGTCGATGCTGTGTTTGGCTTTCTTCTCGCCGTCGTCCTCTTTCTTGTCCGCTTCCTCCTCCTCCTCTTTCTTCCCGAACTTGATTCTGAGCACGCGGCTAATCGAACTCACTAAACCTCAGAAATTCAAAGGCAAAAGAGCTAGTATAAGTTGTTGGGGCAAGGGAGTGCGGGCCGCTGGGGACCCTGGAAGAAAGTCCCAAAGCGCCTTCCCCCCAGACACACTGCGAAGGTATTCACACCCACGTTTACACCTTTACGCCTACTCCCAGGCACGAGTGCAGTCGCTCACCCACACGGGGAAGCCCGATTCACACCAGGCGCTCACACGGTGGCCAGACGGGCAGAAACACCCACCTGCACATTCCTACACACACCCTTGCACACACGTGTACCTGGCACTATGACATACCCTACACGGACTCACATCCACACCCGCTTCCCCAGAAGCTCTCCGGAGGCAGGCCCCCAAGCCCGGCCGCTGCCTTGCCACTCAGGTGTGTCCTGGCCCTGCACGCCCGAGTTCCCCGGGCACACACACACACACCTCTGGCCACTCTCCCTCTCACGGGCAGCACCAAGCAGGGCTTCCATGTTTGAGACCCTCTGGCGGCAGCAACGGAACAGAAGTGGTGACTGGAATAGGGGCTCCGGGAGCCCCCGGAGATCAAACCTCCCGGGTCAGAGCCTGGTCTAGGCCACTTCTCTGAGAAAGCGCCTGGAGAGCTTCTCTTCTCCCCCGACCTTGTAGGTCAACTTTCCGCCCGTTCCTTCCTCCCTTCCACTTCCTCTTTTCTTCCCTTCTCTCCTTCCACCTTCCTTTCGGTTTTGATTCCGTCCTGAGCCCTCGCTCTCTCTCTCTCTCTGCCCTCTTGCTCCCTTTCCTCCCAACTTTCCTCAAAGGTCCCACCACCCACCATCTCTCCCGCATCCAGCCCGCGCCCCGGACGGCGCCCTGGCCGGACCTGGGCGGGCTCTGCCTGCTCAGCTGCCTTCTCACCTGAAGGCACGGTGCTGCGGTCACAGTGCCCATCCTTCAACAGCCGGTCCCGGATCTCCCAGCTGAACATGCCTGGGTTTTCCCTCTTGTATTCCTCAATCTTTTTCTCCACATCCGGAGTCGCCACCTGCTTCAGAGGTGGAGGTGGGGGAGCAGGAGGGGAAAGATGGGGTGGGGGGAGAGGGAGGTACTTTTAATATCAACCTCCCAAGAGCCCCAGACCAGGCGAGTGGCTCTGGTCACCATGCCCTTCTTGTGAAATTGGCTTTATTCTTTCAAGAAACCTGTTCTGGCTCCTAGGGAGGCCGTGGGCTGGGGTGGAAGGTGAGGTAGAGATAGGTAATGAAAGAGAAACCTGATAGGGACCCTCAGTGTCCTCTTCCTCACTATTTCAGGCAAGACTGAGGGGCCATGGTCCCTGGTCTGGGATGGCGGCAGGGGATCGGTACAAATACAGGAACAGCCCAGCAAGGACTCATGGACCTCAAAGTCCTGGGCAATCTGGACTTCAGTTATTCCCATCCCTGAGAAATTCGAACAATGGTGGGGGGATACCTGGGAGGTGGGGACGCTCTCCCACTGCCATGGAGCACGTAGTTGCCCGGTGCTACTGGGTGGCACAGGGCAGTGCCAGGGGCCACAGCCCGGACCCCCAACCATGGAAAGGCCTGCTGCCAGCTCTGCGGCAAAGACACTCACTCTGGGCTTGCTGCCGCCGATGGCCCCAGGCCGGATGGACCCGGTCTCCTGGTAGCGGCAGAGAATCTTGGAGACGCAGCCGTGGGAGACCCGCAGCTGGCGGGAGATGACGCAGGGCCGGATGCCGTGGTGGGCCATCTCCACTATCTTGTGGCGGATGTGGTTAGGCAGGGGTCGCCCATTGATGAAGACCCCACCGAGCTGATTGACCCGGCCTTGGCCCAGCGGGGTGGACACTGCAGAAGGAAGGGGAGACGAGGAAGGAGAGAGGCACAGGGTGAGGATGCGGAGGAGGCACTGGGTGCACCCCTGGACTCCGGTTTTTCTTGAGCCCTGAGACCCCTGACAGCTCTGAGCTCCCCACATTTGGAGCGGTGGCAGTTCCTTAATCAGAAAAAGAAAACTGTCCTGAAGCTGAGGGACGTCCCGCAGGGGTGGAGAGAGGGGTTACTGCTGGCTGCTCCCGTCCCCCCAGGTGCTGTCTGCTTCCAGTCCTGCCGCACTGAGGGGAGTGAGGACACACCTGGGGGGGGGCTGAATGCCTCTGAGCAGGGGCGGGAGAGAGGCAGAGGCAGAGCCAGGGGTCTGGTGGAGCCTGGAGGCTCCGGCAGCAAAGGGTCTCTGTCCCCCAGGGTACAGCTTGGGCTGCCTCTTCGAGACGCCAGCACTGGGCGAGGTGTTGCCCATGTGGTCAGTCAAGACTCATCCATTTTGTTGGGGCCCAGAAGGGGCTGATCAATTGCTAGTATTTGCAGCCCCAGCCTGGGCCACAGAACTGTCCTACCCATACCTGCGTAGCTGAGGACCAGTGACATAACGCTGTTGGCTGTTCCCTCTCGGGCCACCTGGCTGCCCTTCCAGGGACTCCCCTTGCTTCTGACCTCCCTCAGAGCTCTAATTTCGTTTTGGGACCATTCGGGGGGACACGATCCCTTGTTGGCCGTTTCCCCAATCAAATGCCCACTTGGTCCCAGAAATCAACACACTGTCCCTGCAGGCTCTGCGAGGCTGGTACACAGATGGCCAGAGTCCCTGGGTCCGGGTGACCTCGGGAACCGGGAAGACGGGGACGCCTGGTGTGTGTTGGGGAGAGAGATGCCTCGCCTCAGCAGCCTTAATGCAAAATCTACACCGTTTCCTCGCAGAAGACTGGGGGACACCCGGTGCACTAATCCGGCCTCGATCCCCCCAATTTGGGGACTCGGCGGCTGCGGAGATCTGGCAGATTAGAACGATTTCACAGCCGCCTTGGTGGAGGGAGCCGACAGTATAATTGGAAGAGAGGAGGCGAGAAGAGGCTCGGCTGCGGAGCCGTCCCTACCGCCTCCTCCCTCGCTCTCCAGGTGCCCCCACCTCTCTTTGTAAAAGTAGGTGTCTGAAGCCACCCTCGGATTTAATCAGAAATCGTGCGTCGCCGAGCCAGAGTCACTCGGTCTCCGTGGCGGGATATGCCATTAGCGCTCGAGAGCACTCGAGCGCCCAACTTTATATTCAAGAGCCTCTCGAACGACCGGCACTCGGCTCTCCTCAGTATTCTCCGTCATGTTGGGCAAATATTGTTCTAATCCGCCGCGCGTCCTCGGCCGCCTGTTTTCCTTGCATTCGCTACAGGAGAGGGCGGCGGCAAATCCCCGGGCCGGTGCGCTCTCCCGCCTGCGCCGCCGCTCGCGCGCACTTGATCACGGAGCCACTCGCTTCGCCGCCCTCTAATTCAGGGACCCGCGCCGTCTCGCAGCCGGAGGGACCCTCCTCCCCAGCCCCCTCCCTGCCTCTCTCCCCGGGCCTCGAGCACCCGGGGGCTCCTATAATTACAAAAAGAGTGATTACAAAATAAAAGTCGCACCTTTCTCGAGCCTCGTCTCTAAGACACTCGGGGCTACCTACCCCAGGAACTGAGCAATCTCCCAGTTGACAGGTTGAAGACCTTCCATTAGTTTCAAAAGAAAATAAAATAAAATAAAAATAATAATAACGCAGCCAAGGGTCTCAGCGGCGCGCTCCCAGCCCTCTCTCCAGCCGAGAGTCGGCTCACCGCCCGTTCTCTCTGCTCACCCCGGTGCTGGGTATTTAGGAAGGACACATCCCAAAACGAACGCTTTTCCCCGCCTGCACAGCGCGGTGCCCAGGAACTTGGCCATCTTGAGGTTCTCTCCTGGGAGATTTCCAGAGTTGAGAAGCTCCAGAGAAAAGTTTTTTTTTTTTTTAAACGGGGGGGGGGAGGTTTGTTACTATTTATCATTTCTAATTAGTTGGTTTCCACATCCCACAGCTGGAGTTTCTGATCGTTGCTCTGGAAGAAGCGGACAGCCTTCCCCGTTTAGACACACACAGTATCACACACTGTTGGAATTTCGAAATAAGAGGGATCGGAAGGCCATCCCGAGGTGGCGAGAGCAATTCAAAGCAAGAGCAGAAAGCCAGTATCCGGGGAACGCAGACAGCGGAGAAAGAGCCCGGGGGCGGAATAGTATCTGAAAACCTTGGAAAGAACGGAAATTCACGAGGACCTGAAATTTACTAGGGCCCCAAATCTACGTCGTCAGCTCTGCGCCCAAAGGCCAGAGAGCCCCGCGGCCCCGCGAGTCTGAGGCCGCGGGTTAGCGAAACCCACGCACAAAACCCGACAAGTGTCAGTCCCGCCAACTTCCCGGGTCTGACGCCCGGCCTTGGACCCAAGAGAGAAGGGGACCCCGTGCTGTGCGGGCCCTGGCGCCGCCGCCACCCGGTGGAGGCGGCCACCTCTCCAAGGACCTCGAGTTCCCGGCGGAGGAGCGAGGAGTGAGCCCGGCGCCCTTACCTTCCAGAGGGAACCCGGTGCGCGGGTAGTTCTGCCCGGGAGCCGGCCGCATCATCCTGGGTACGGTGCCGGGAAGGGCCGCCATTCTCGCGCCCGCGGGGGACGAATCCGGAGTCGGCAAAAATCGCTTCCCGTCCGTTCCCTTCACCCCTGCTGCGATCTCTTTCTTTCCTCCTTCTCCTCCTTTTTTTTTTTTTCTTTAAAAAAAAAAACCTCTTCCCGCTCCCCTCCCTACACACTGCCTACCCCCACCCCCCCACCCCCGCCTGCAGTCTGCGCGTCCAGAAGCTGGGGAGGGGGGCGAGGTGGAGGCGGAGGTTGGGGGAGGGAAGGTGGCGACGAGGAAGTTCAAACAAACAAACACTCCAACCCCAAGTGCGCCTGTGCCCGCTCCGCGCCGCCAGAAGTTGTGCGGGCGGCCGGCCGCGCCGGGCAGACCCGGGGCACGCGGCCGGAGTCGGGGCCCCAGCCGGGGACTGGCGAGCGCCGCGCCCTCGCGCTCCCGGCCGAAGTTCTGAGCCGGAGAGGCTGCGGGGTGGATTCTTTTTCGTATTTATTTATATATTTATTCCCTCGCTCTCGCTCCCCCCTCCTCTCCGCACTCCCGTCCACGCCTTTCTCCAGACCACACTCTCTACTCTCTGGCACACGCGCTTTCACACCCCCGCCCCCAGAACCCTCGGGGAGGGAAGAGGGTGCCTCTCAGGTTTCGGGGCTCGAGGGGAGGCGGCGGGGCGACGAGGGGAGGCGAGGGGGCGAGTGGTTCTCCGGGCAAGTTGTGCAAAAGTGCTCCGCCGGAGTGCGAGGAGGAGGAGGCAGCGGACGGGATCTGATAGGTTCGGACTTTTCTTTTATTTATGAGGAGGGAAGGGGGCCGCGGCGCAAGGGAGCCGAGGACCAATAACGAAAAGAAATCGCCAGCGAATATCTTTTTTCCCCTCTTTTCTAACCCTCAGCTCGACCTGGTTTGGGGCAGGGGGGGAGGCGAGACTCTGAACTGCCCGTTACGGCAGAGGGAGCAGAGGCGGGGGCGGGGGTGGGGAGAGAGGAGAAGGAGGGGGCCCACTTTGTCCGAGTGTCTGCGTTTGACGAATGGGCCGGATCCGAAGAGCGCCCGGCCCCCTGTCGCCCACGGCCCCTCTGGCGGCCGGGCTGCATGGGAATGTCTGCCTCCGGCTGGTGACTCCTCCGGAGTCTCGCCTTGTCTCTGGCCTCCCAGGGTCAGAGTCCGCTGAACGTCACATCTTCTCCTTCATTTCACTCACACGCTGAATTTTCCGCGAGTGGGGCTGAGGGTGACTTCATGGAAGCGATTTGTGACTTTTCTGAAATACTGTCTGAGCCCCGGCGTCGCCTCGGGCTCGGCAGGGTCTAGGGCTTAGAGGATTGGGTCTGCCGAGGGTTCGGGACGCACCTCCTCGTCCCCTCCCCGCGCCGCGTCCCTCGCCCTTCCCCAGCCAGTCAGACCCGTCCTCCTCCGCCGGCTCCCAGACCACACCCAGAACCCCCTTCCCGCAGGTAGTCCGGCTCCCGGGAGCCGAACAGCAAGTGGGTGCCGGGGACCCAGGGACGGGGGAGCCGGGTGGGTGGGAGGAGTGGAGCTGGGCAGCACCAGGTACCACCCTGACTTCAGCCACTCCGCGCTCCTCTGCTCAGATGTGGACGACGGGGGGCGGGGGGCTAATTGAACGGTCAGGAGTGGGGGGGGGCGCTGAGAGGTTCCGAAGCTCTGCGCTCTCCTGGGCGGGAGAGACTAGACGCCCCAGCCTGGACACCGAGTCCTGGGGGCGAAACGCCCTCCCAGCGGGGCAGGACGCCGCGACCGCGGCCCTTTTGTCTCCCCCGGGAAAGGGTGTCTCCGGCCCAGCGCTGGAAGCGAAACACAATAAAATAAACCCAGCCCCCAAACTCGCCCCCAACCCCACCAGCCCGCCTCCTGCCCGCCCTCTCCCAGTGCTGGGGTCAGCCTAGTCTTGGCCTGGGGGGCTTTCCTCGGGCTGGCCCCACTGTGTTCCCTCCCCTCCCCTTTTCCTCACCTGTGACCTTTGCCCTCTCAGCATGGGACACACTCCCTCCTCTCCTCGCTCTCCCCGCACGGGGGGGGGGTCCTCTAGGAATGAAGGCCTTCTAAAAAGCTATTAAACCCACCCCCTCCAGTGGCCCCTGAATTGAGAAGGGGGAGGCAAAGTAGCTTTAGCATTTAAAAGGAAGACACCAGGCTGCCAGGCTGCCTGAGTTGCAGGGGCCCTAGGAGGTTTCCTGGTCCCCTTTCGTCACTGCAGGTGCCACCCCACTAGACCCAGGGCCCTCAGGAGAGGTTGGGAGATGCAGTTTGAAACCACAGCGTGTGCACATGGGAAAGGGGGCTGCCTGAGCCCCCTTTCCCTCTCTTCTTGCTGGGGGGGTCTGGCCTGCCTCGACCTGCAGAAGAGGCGATGCATTTCAGGTACATGTACACACATGCAGATATAGACATACACATGCATGTGATATGTGCACACAGGTACAGACAGACACATGTGTGTACGCAATAGACACACATGCGTGCAAATACAGGTGTACGTGCGCAACACGTGCACATGCAGATGATGTGTACACAGACATGCACATGTGGCACACATGTAGATATAGACATGCCCACGTATACAATGTGTGCATGCACGCGCACCTATCAATGTGTGCATGTGCGTGCCATACATGTGCACATAATAGACACACATACACATATGCACACACGCGCACACAGACACAGGCATGCATGTGCGCACAAAACCACGTACATACAGACACACACGTGCAACACAGACATGTATTCAGATACAGGCATGCATGCATGTAACACATGTTGCACATATTGTACATTCACTCATTCATCAGTCACTGAGTTCCCTTGTCTGCATGTTTGTGGGTGGACGGGGTCGGTGTGTCTGTGCGTAGGTGAAGGTGGGTTTGTGTGTGCAGGTCGGCCGGAGGCCGTGATCCAGCCTGAGTCTGTGTGTTTATGAGTGAGGGTCTCTGTGTTTGTGTTTTGGAATCTCTTTCACGTTGCCTTAGCGTAGCTCCACGTGCCATCAAGAAGGTGTAGGTGCTCTTTCGGTCAATCCCCCTCAGAGGAAAGAGCCCTGGACCACAACTGGTGGGGATGCTGGACGACTCTGTCCCTCCCGTCACCCATGTCTCCTGAACTGTGTGGGGCAAGCATACAGCAAGACCCCGAGATTCAGGGCTCGCCAATCAGCTGCTGCTGGACACATTGGAACCCCAGGCAAGTGGGGGACCGCCTAACCCTTGGCATGGTTCCTGCCTTTTTTGGCAGCTGACTGGGAGCAGCAGGTCTAGTAGCAAGGGAGGATCCCCCCACAAGGTGGCTCCCCCAAAACTAGTGCTGCTGGTGCCAACCCTGCATTTGCACAGCTTGGGGATTCCTTGGGCTCCCTCGGGGCAGACAAGGGGGAGACAGGGGAGTGTCTGCTGGAATGAGCGTGGCCGTTCTCGCCTGTTGGAGACCAATTTCACAAATGATTTTTGCAACAATTAAGAAGTGTGGCGGGGTGAAATGGCGATTTCACATCCAGCAGGGAAAAGGGGGGTTCACCTGGGATCGGGGGCGGCTGCAGCTGGAGGTGGGGGGAAACTCCCCCCCTCTCATTTTCTCTTGCTCACCTTCTGGTCCCAGCCTACCCCCATAGAGACGTTAATCAGCTCCTAGGGCCTCCAGTCGCTGCTGTAGGTGCCCAGGGGTGCCAGCTGCATGTTGGGTGTTGGGTTGGGCTTGGCCTGGAAAGTTTTTCCTTCAGCTCTTCACCCCACCCTGTCTCTTTCTCCCTACTTCTTCCTCCCTCCCTCTTCTCTCTCTCCCCACCTCACCACACACACACACACACACACACACACACACACACACATCACACACTTTTCTGTCTTTCTCTGCACCCCCGCCCAGTCTGTCTCTCTGGCTCGTCCATCTCTCTTTGCTTGTTTCTCTCCCCTTGCCTTTCTGACACCTCCCGGCGGCTTCCCTCTCTTAGTCTGCTCATCTTGTCCACTGCCTCCCCCATCTCCATGGTTTCCTGAGGTATGTCAGCCCCCATTGCTCTCTGGGCTGTAACTCAGACATGAATCCCTGGGAGAGCCCTTTGGTCTTCACGGAGTGGGGCAGAGACCTTTGGGAGGGGCCCTTCTCTGCACCGCGTCTACCTCGGGCTCTCTCCAGAGGAGCATCTCCAGACCGGGCCCAGCTGGATTCCAGCACCCGCCGCTGCCCCCAGAAACCACCCCTGTGCTGGTACTCTCTGGCTACATAACTGCCCTCCCACCCCCACCTCCATCTGTCTGTACTGAGATCCCCCTGCCCCCACCACACACACATTTCTAAGGGCAACAACAGTGCTAATAGAAATTCTTCCTCCCAAGTTCCCAAATTGAACCTTCCACACCCAATTAAAATGGGAAAGAAGAACACAGGCCCAAAGATCAGGGGCCAGACCCCAGGACGGCTGGGGAAGCTGGCTTTTCTCTGGCAGCTCCCGCCCCAGAGTGTGAATGACGGGAAGTGTGGGACAACTTCGGGCCACTGCTGGGCGCCCCCCTTGCCCTGCCCCCATGTGCCCTGTGGGGAGAACACTCCCTATTTCCGACCTCTGCCACGAGCACTTTGGGGAAGCGATTGTCCAACAAATCTTCCTCTAAAGGTGGTAAGTCCACCTCGAAAACCTGGGGTTTTCGTTGCAGTGGGCCTTCTGCATTTTCAGAGGCTACTGCCAAACATACCGACGCATGGTGTTATTCAGTCTTCGAATGTTTGGTAATGGGGGGGGCGCCCTTGAACGAAGGACCCTCTGGAGGGTCACTCCAGGTCCCGGAGGCCGGGATTTTTCATTGCCACGTTGGAAGAGGCACCCCTGAAAAAAAACACCTTTTCTATACTCCCCCAGTCTTTTATTCTTATTTTTCTCTTAAGAAGTAGCTCTCTTCAGAGAGAGACCCGAAACATCTGCTGGAACCAGAATAAGAAGGAGAGGGAGACGGTGGTGTTTCCTGGGTTGACATTTTCATTTTCCCCGGAAAAATAAAATAGAGTGTGTT